TTAAGCACCTACTATATACCATATTTTTGCATCATTTGCTTGACATACATTACCTTTTATATTTAAACCAATGGCCTTGTGAGGTCGATCTTGTTGTTACCATTTTACATATTAGTCCTTGAGGATCAAGGGCCTTTGATGATTTGTTCAAGGTCAAGCAGCTGGTGGCTGAGCTCAACAGGCTCCAAAGTCAACTTCTGCTGTGTCACTGTTACAGCCTTGGATGTAGAGTGACAGCAGTAAACACTACTCTCACACCATTAATAGTTCCAAATCCTTTATGCTCAGTTCCCTTGTTGGCAGTTAAAAGAGTGTGCCATCAGATATACCAGAAAGTCACACTCTATGAGTTTATACAAGGAGAGAAGAGCATGTCTTTTTCTCAAAGCGTTTCTTTCTACCCAAAATGTTTGCAGACTAAGGGAAATCCCCTAAAGGTTAAATAAAGAAATTGGATAAGATATATTGATACGGTATATAAATATGGACTCCTGGGTATTTTAAAATGTATAAGAGAATAGAACAGCTCTTCTGAGGGTTGATTCTCTTTAAAATGTAAACATGACTTTCAAGTTCTTGAGGTAGCTCTGGGTTTACCATGGCAAAGAGATGGGGACCTCCTGGCTGAAGGGTGGCTGCTGATGCTAGAGAAGTGGAAAGAAAGGGTTAATTTTTAGTGAGATGAACTAAATAACTCAGCAAATATTTATTAACAGCTTACTGGGTGCCAGGCGCTATTCTAGATGCTCAAGGTACAGCAGCGAGCAAAACAGACCAAAACAGGCCAAAACTCCCATCTGCATGGAGCTTATATATAGTTCAGTTGATTAATTAATTTGTAGCAGAAAAAATGAAATGAGGTGTAAATTAATCTATTAGACGTAGGGGAAGAGCTGGCCCAAAGAGCCCCAATATTGTGGACAGGTAGAGACAAATAACAAATGGGATGTGGGAGCCAGAGACTTGGGAGGCAGGGAGTGCTGATGGAGATGGGTGGCCCTGCCTGGGGACTTGAACTGGACTTTGGGGGAAAGGTCAAGGAGAGCTTTTAGGCAGAGCCTAGGACAGTTGTGGCAGTTGAACATGAAGCTTTAAAATGGTGGACCTGGGGCCCCAGAAGGTAGAGCTTCTATCTCTAAATACTTAAACACGGGGAAGAGAGAATCCAGGCTCTGTCTGAAGGAGGAAGTGGGGAGAACGGTGATCTCCTTAACAGTGGGCTGCTACCAAACTATCTGAGTAACCCTTGCTGTGTAATTTACCCTGTGGAAGCTCCATCCTTTTACTACAGAACAGAGCTAGGTCTTGGTGTGTCTTCAGCCAGGTCGTTATCTGCAGGTGGATTATCCTCACTGCCCAGCAATCCACAGTGGGGAGCTAGTGAAGCTATCACATGGTCATGATGAGAGCGTTATTGATTCACCTTCTGTCAGCTGAAACCACATTGTTATGCACTTGAACAGATCATCTGCCAGATTTCAGGAGAAAGGATGAATAGAAGGGAATCAGTGCAAAAGATTATGGGGGAGAAAGGTCTTGGGCCAAGTTCTCTTACACCTTCTGGGTAGTTTCCACAGAAATTAACTTTGGGCAAAGATCAGTGGAGAAGGTGGCCAGGAAACCCATGTGGCCACCACCCCTAGTAAAAGTCCTGTTCAGTTCCTCCATTCACATACCACTGGCTCCCTCTGGAAAGAGACAGTTGGGAGAGAGAGTGGGAGCCACCTTTTCTTGTTTACCTTCTGTGTGCTTGGCACTGTCAAATGCTATCCATATATTATTTCTTCTATTAATAATTCTCACAAAAGCCCAGAGATATGGGCATTCTTTTATCTCATTTTATGGTGAGAACGCAGATGCTTAGAATCACACTGAGGTCACACAGTCAGGATAGGACAGAGCCAGGATGCAAATCAGATCTGAGTGATTCTGAGGACAGTGGTTCCACCACTACTGCTCTGAGGGTGTGTTCTGAAGGTGGCGCCATATCCAGGCAGGGCTAGGAACACCTTCTGGCTCCTGGGCATCCCTCCAGTCTTGCGGTGGTAGCTGTTACTCCTGAGTTTTCTGTCTTGCATTAGAAGTAAGGTTTTTAAGCTCAAGGACAATTAGGGGAAGTGTAAAAAAAGGAGGATAGTCTTCTTTGCTGACCTTAATACAGAGGACTAATTCAGTAGACTTATACTATAAATTTCTATCATGCTTTCTCTCCTCCTACCCACCTTAAGCCAGTTCTCTTTCTTCTGCTTTAAAATTAAGTCTTTAAAATGCTTTTAGCAAGATAATTAATAAACGGACCTTAGGAGAAGCCAGAACATAATAGGTGATAAAGAAAGCATAACAAATTAAAGGTGAGGGGATAGGATAGTCAATAAATGATAGTGAGATGTTATTTAAAGCAAAAAAGCACACGAAGCCTAACCTCATACCATACACAAAGATGAACTAGAAATATCTTGAAAAATCAAATGTAAAAATATAAACTAGAAAAGACTAGTAAAAATATCAGTGAATTTCTACCTACATTTTAGCTGAGAAAAGTCATTCTAAATATAAAAGCACTGAAAAAGTTGCAGAGGAAAAGTATTTAGATTTCACTATGTATTGAAATTTAAGATAGAAACAACCAGAAAGTAATTAAAGGATAAATAACACCAGGGGCAAATATGAGACAAGAGTGATAGGGAAGGGTTAAAAAGTTAAAGATGTGGCAGTTTTTATGAGAAATACTAAAGCAAGGCTTTATCTTTACATTTTAAGATATGGCTCATTATTTCATCTTGCTGAGATCTTTTTGGAGATAATTATCAGCTATTCTTGTAATTTAAGGTAGTCAAATTTGGTATCCACAAGGTCCCCATGGAAGTTTTTGATAAATGGGTTTACTAGCACAGAGATAAGAATGAGTCCTGTGTCAAACTGCTAGCACACTAACTCAGGTGAACATAGATTCTGAGCCTGAGGGTTTAAACTCTTAGTCACCAAGCTCCACTAGCATCCAGCCTATAGTTCTTCACTGGTGTTCATGGAGATTACAAAAGACAGCACGCCTTATAAACTACAGACATACACTAGTTGTGGAGTTCTTCTGCTCTCGCACTTAGTTGAAATCTCAAAAACAGAAATGAACTCACTTTTGTATGATGTGTTCTTGGTGCATACATAATGTCTTCTAGTGAACTATCATTTCCCCCTTCTAAGTTTGCAAACCATCTGTTTATTAATGTCTTTGGTAATATTTTTATTATTTATTTGGAGTTTGTGAAATCTAACTTCATTCTTTGGAAAATGGAGACCTTAATTTGTTCTTCTTCAGTTCTCTGGCACAGCTAAACCTCTCTGCTTTTCCTCAAAGATCCTTGAGATTCTTTCCCATTCTGTTCTCTCAAAATAAAGAAAAACAGGACATACAGGTGAATTATCAACAGGTGTGAAGAACATTTTATTTAAACTTGCATGTTTCTGATGGGAATTACCATTTCAAAGGAACGAGTGTGTGTGTGCTTGCATACATGCCTCTCTCTCTCTCTCTGTGTGTGTGTGTGTGTGTGTGTGTGTGTGTGTGTGTGTGTGGGTGTGTGTGTGTTTGTATATACTGGGGAAGAGGTTAGGGCAGGGGAAGGGACCAGTGGCTTGCTGTTATTCTCCCCTGGTGTCTGGGGACCAGGAAAATGCTAGAGAAATAAGGCTCTGTGAATGAACATACAAAGTTAGAACCTTACTATGCTGGGCTGACTCTTCACTTTTCTTTTATATCTTGTTCTCATTGGGAAGAGTATAGGCTTTTAATGGGGAAGAATTATAGACCAAAAGACATCAAGATTCTGTTGCCTTCATAGAATTCGTTCCTGTGTTGCAAATCCTTGAGCATGTTGACTTCAAGACTAATTCAAACAAAACCAAATTAAACTAAATAGCCCCAAACAACCAGTGGTTATTCCAGACCAAAGGGAGGATAAATAAAAGCTTGAATGCTAACATCTTCGGTTTTGATGAAAACTCATTACAATTGACAATTCCTCTGCTAAAAATTCACAGTGACATAGGCTGGGTAATAATATGGCTTTCATCTTTAAGAGATCTATGAATAGAAAAGACTACAGAGTTTATACTTTTTAAAAATGCTGCCACATTCCTTTTTTTTAGTGGCAGTGAAGTTCTATTTCATAAGTTTGATATTGTAAGGGTTTTTCTAAATTAAGCTCTGGGGTTTGCTATTTCAGGCATCCCGCTCGGCAAGCCCATGCCTTGTGACATTACTTCTGCTCTGTTTACCAATAGTGTGAGTCAGGGCTTGTGGTTGTGGCAAAGTCAGCCCCACAGAAGCTGACAGAACCATATTACCTCTCACTTAAAAAAGGGCACCAAGAGACTTGAAGGGGAATCTGGAAGATCCAGTGGTCATGAGACTCATCGTTTATGCATGGTAACCTCTCTCTCCCAGTGCAGTTTAGAAACTATGGGCTGGATTGTCCCTGGTTTCATTCTGAATGATGCTTCCCATTCATGAGATATTTTATTTTGTGAAATGGCACACAATCATCATGACTTCATGCTGAACTTTGGTATTAGCTCCTTACCTGCTTTATTTGACTACACTCAGATTAATCTTCCCAAGTCATGATTCTGATTGTCAGGATAATGACTACTCCCAACCCCTGTTTAAAACTGAATTTGTTTTCTATCTATAAAAGTGAAGGAAAAAATCACATGCCCATTTTATCATCATTGGACATTTTATTGGTTGGAAAAATGCTTATAGATAAATATTATTTCTTGTAAATCAAGCAGTTACCTTTATAATAAATCTTGGGGTGAGGGATACCCAAACAAATACTCAATTTACAAGATATTATAATTTCAAATTTTTTTCAGTTGAAATTTGTTGAAATTATTTCAGCACTGTCTATGCCTTAAATTCTGGCACAGAACAAATTTTCAGTATTATCCACATTGTGGATTATTTGTACAACTATATGTACAAGAATATATGTACAACTGGTGCTAGTTAAACTTGTATTTTCAACATTCCATAAATTTATCTTGAGAGAACTATCTCTTAAAAAAATTAAAATCATATTATGAAATCTATTCAGCTATAACACAGAGAGCTAGTGCTAATCAAATATTATAGGTGTTTCCTTTCATTTCCTAGCCTTCTTTGTCATTAAGTTGGGGCCATGTGACTATTTCTGGCTAATGAATACTAAGTGGAAGAGAAACTTGTCTCTTTAGGCCAAGGAAAACTGAGAAACCACATATCTGGGTGGTACAAGCACAAGATGGTGGAACCTCTGTCCCTGGGTTCCGGGGACACTATGGACAGAACGATGTTCCACTGACCAGTGCTGGGCATGGAACTTGAGCAAGAAATAACATTTCAAGATTTGAGAGTTAACTCGCTACCCCACACAACATAGCTTCTCCTAACTATTAATAATATAGCAGTTAATAGGTACCAAGTGTCAGGTACACTTGCAAATGCATTAAAACAAATTACATCTGAATTTCTTTCTCCTCTCTCAGTGGTCTTTTGTGCTAGGGAGAACATCTGCTTCCTTGTTGATTGGCAGTTGAAACATCTGCAATTTCATCCTGAAGTCCTGATCCTGAGTGTGTGTCTGAACTGAGGCTGAAGATGACCAAACCTTCAACTCTGTATCTTCCCTGCCTGGCGGAATCTCAGTACATCTTCTAAAGGGTAGGACCCGTGTTCAGCTGCTGCTCCTCCCCTTACTGCCCTATCTTGTCATGAATAAGTGCCAGCTCTTGGCACTCAATCATGTACACCAATAATCACGATTCTCTCTTGATTAAAACTCATTTGCAATTTCCGAGTACTTTCAACAAAAATTATTAAATTTAAGCCTGAACTTCCAAAATCTTATCCCACCCTACCTTTCAAATTTTAGGTCTCATCATAGTTCCCCTGAATTGATTTACTTGCTACCTGCTAGACATGTCTCTCTTCCTATACATCTTTTAGTCATATCATTCATTTGCTCTAAATGTCTGTCTTTCCTGCCATTCAAGCCCTACCCAATCTTCAAGGTGCAACGTAAGTTTCACTTTGTTTTGATACCTTCTCTGAATGATGTTAAGCTTTCTACAGGTTCACTACTTTCTACAGGTTCAATACTCATCTTCATTTCTGAAATCCAAAAAACTATGGAAATGGAAAGCTTTTAAATAACTCATCAGCAAAATCTGGTCCGAACTGAAAAAATCTGGAGACAAAACTTGAACTGAACTGACTTGGCTTTATGTACAGTCTTTACCTGTAGTTTTTATCCCACTTAGCCTGTATGTTCATATTTTTTTTGATTGTGTTATAATACCCTAGACCCTTCTGGTCATTATATAATGTATAATATTATCTGTCTAAAATCTGAAACATTCTGAGTTCAGAAACTTATCTACTCCCAGGGATTTTGATAATGAGATTGCAGCTCAGTTATGGTTCTCATGGAGGAAGCACTGTATACTTCTGTTTTGAAATTTTCTGATCCATTTGAATGTGCTTTAATAAAACTAACTTCTACACTCTGGGAGGCTGAGGCGGGTGGATTGCTTGAGGTCAGGAGTTCGAAATCAGCCTGAGCAAGAGTGAGACCCCGTCTCTATTATAAATAGAAAGAAATTAATTGGCCAACTAATATATATAGAAAAAATCAGCCAGGCATGGTGGTGCATGCCTGTGGTCCCAGCTACTTGGGAGGCTGAGGCAGCAGGATCGCTTGAGCCCAGGAGTCTGAGGTTGCTGTGAGCTAGGCTGATGCCATGGCACTCACTCTAGCCTGGGCAACAAAACGAGACTCTGTCTCAAGAAAACAAAAACAAAAACAAAAAAACCTAACTTCTAGCATAGATTGGAATTTTGGAGAATGAAATGATTAGTGTTTTGGGTACAAATTTCTACAAGTCACAAACTAGTTTGCACAGAGATACTTTTCTTTATTTTCCCTTATCTAAACTTAATTTTTCCTCAAACCCAGTCACCACCTGATGACAGGAAGCTTCAGGTAAATTCAGTTAGTGATTTCTCAGTGATTTAAGGTTGTGATCCAGTCAATTCAGGGATATAAGCCTGAAATTCCTGCTCCAGTTTTATGGCCCTCATTCTGCCTCTTCTCTTGCAGACACAGAAACTTTCACATGCTTCCCTCTGCCCCTTTGCGACCCAGTCTTGCAGTCCCTCTCTGCCTACAGAATTTTAGCTCTGCCATCGCTAGGCCATACTGATGTGGGGTAAAGCGTATGGAAACACACACTAGTCTCGTTGTCGGTGCCTTGGGACGTGAGGCCCAGATTTCAGAATTCTCTAGATTTAGCGGAACTTTGATCATCCTTCCCTTCCCACTCCCAAGGGGTAGGAAGAGGGCCAAGGGCTTGTGCCCATGTCTTCTCTAATTTCAGAAAGATTCTTAATTAACCAACTAACTTTTTTTCTCTTCTTCAAGTGACTAGGCAAAATTCTTCTGGACTTAATTGTTTATGCTGGTAACTCAGTTTGTGACATTTAAAATGCCACATCTCATGAAGCTATTGTATATGACATAGATTTATGAAAGTATACTTTAAGGCTTAAAATATGTGTAACTAAAACATACGTGACTAGAATTCTTTGTTCTCTGGGCTGTGTGATTGTTTTGGCTCTGACCCCTGGGGATTATTGTTATCTGACTCATAAGCAAAGGCTAGAAGACAAAGAGCAGGTGGGAGGTGGAGTGGGTGGGAAGTACGTGGTTAATGTGTTAGAAGTTCACTCTACTGCATGTGTACTCCCATCTGGCATCATTCACACCCCAAACCGTAAAAGCTGCCTGCCATGCAAAGAGAGAAGTTTTACTTGCTCTTGCATAAGTGCTTTTCAAACTGGCAGCTCAGGGTGCAAGGTGAGAGCGAACCCTCGAGTCTGCTATCCCATCGCAGGGTGCTCCCACACTCACCCACACTCACACTGGGACCATGTAGACATGCCAGTGGACCTAATGTGCACATCTTTGGGATGTGGGAGGAAGCTGAGTACCTGGAGAAAACCCACATAGACGTGGAAAGAATGTGTAAACTCTATGCAGATAGTGGCCCTGGCCAGGAATAGATCTTCCTTTTTCTCATCAACATTATAATAAGACAATGTTGAATGAAATGACATTGTTTGAGGACCTGCTGTATGGTGCCAGTGCATTTCAGCTCTGGTAAGTTTAATATCAAGAGGCCTGACAGACAGACAGACAGACAGCTTCCTCTCTTCCTTATGATGCTTGCTTCCTGCAGAGCACTGTAAAACTTTGGCTGTTTATTTATAGGGCCTGGGGTGGAAAAATGCTTTATTATTTTCACTGCTGTCTCATTTCCTCTTGGAAGACACAGAATTTTTAAAAAAGACTTTCCCATGCTCACTTGAACATTCCCATTCCTGCTGACTGAGAATAAACAAGGGTAGTTTGGATGTTTTGACAAATTATGGTGTAACTACTCACGCACCCCTCATTTGTCACCTGTGATCTTGTACTAACCTCGAAACCAGTCTCCCTCCCTTTATTACTCTCCAATCTTGTCCACTCCTAACGTATTACCGAGTGTTCTTTTTCTAAAATGTACATCTAATCATATCACTCTTAAAGAACTTTAAAGATTTTAAAAAAACCCTTATTGGCTTTGCTTATTTTACAGGTACAATTCATACTCTTTGCTTTAGATCATGAGATCTTTCACGATATCCACCTAATCCTCATAATTAACAATTATTATGTGTCTCTTATGTGCTAGTTAATATTATAGTACATTTCAATTAACCCCATTTAACCTTCCTAGAAATCCTATGTGGTTAGTTTTATCTCCATTTCTTAAAACGAGAAAGCTGAGTTTAGAGAGATTAAATAATGAAGAGCATATTCTCATCTATTGCAGCCTTGTGCACCCAAAGCACTGAAGTTTTCACTGATGTCAGAGTTGAACTATATTATTATCTTTCATGCCTCTCTCACTTTTCTCATGTTGAGTCTGCTGCCTGTAATGAAATGAAAACTTATTCACTGGTCAATCTTAAGCTTCAAGATCCAGATAGCCTGTTCCCTGCTCTTTCACTATTTTTCCCTCGGAGAGGGGTCATATGCACCCTCCTTGTAGACCATAACCCTATGTGGACACGTCAAATCACTAGACATAAATCCCAGGTACTAGAAGTACTCTTTCCCTCACTTGTCATCAGGACTGCTGATTCCAACAGAGGACAATCGTTTAGGAAATTGAGTAAGAATAGAATATAGAGGAACTTTAGGCTACTGTGGCATTCCCCCTATAATAAATCTAATACTTGCTGATTTTTCCTTCTTTTTCTAAAAAATTTTTTGATATATTGAAACCAATGTGCTTGCACAAAAGGGAGCTGTGTGTGCCCACCTATTCAAATGTCCAACAGAGATATTTCTTTGATTTTCTAAGTATGTGAGTTTTAGAATGAAAAAATTTGAATGGTGGTAAATACACATAAAATTACCTTGACAATTTACGTGTATAGTCAGCAGTGTTAAGTAATTTCATATTGCTGTGCAAGCAATTTCCAGAATTTTTTATCTTGCAAAACTGAAACTCGTTTCTGTACCAAATGCGGATTCCCCTCTCATATCCCATCCCAGACCACCAGACATTATGTACATGACTATATCCCGATATTCTATGGTCTAGTGTACATCATGCAAATGAATCAAAATATGCAGATGTCTTTTTTTTTTTTTATATTTCGGGCTCCCACATATACTCCTTTGTTCCTTTTCTGAATTAGCTGGAAAATCATTATGATATTTCTCCTTTGTTGGCATGATATCTGTACACTTATTTTGTATGGGATTAAGTGTTTGCTTTATTTAGGTACAGATCTTAGTTAGTCAGTACATAACAATTGCCACTTTTCCCCCAACCTACACCCCCCTAAAAGTCTGTAGACATTCAGTACCAAGTGCATCCATCCCTATGATTGTGTGGCACATCTCACTCAATGTTATTGATATGTTATTACATACCGACCCACTCCCTCCCTTTCCCCACACCCTGCCAAATTACCTATAAGCATACTAGAATGTTACTGTCATACCTAATGATCCCATTAGAGGTGGTCAACTCGTTAAATACCAGTTTGCTAGAGATAGCTATATCTGGCTTCGATTTTCCATTCTCCGGGACTCATCTCGATGTCTTTTTTGTCAGATAATCTATGTGTTCCAGCGTACCTAATCCTACCAGGAATAATAATATTAAGATGTGCTTAAATATATCAAGCTCGTTTTGTTCTTAGAGCTGTTATATTAAGTTTTCCTCAAATTGGTTTTCTGCATAATATAACCAGAAACTCATTGTATACAGTCATAATCTCAAATTCTTCAATTAATGCCACATCTCTATGGAAAATGCCTAAACAGGGCGAATTGGTATTTCCCAGCCTCTATTAGCGAACTTATGAATTGTGCTTATCGCTTGATAAACACATGTTCCGAGATTGCAGCGGTGTTTTTGTGTAGAGTGTCATATGGATCATTTGGGTAGTATTGACCCAGCAAGGCTGATGGGATTTGCTGGCTCACTGCATCAGATGTAGATTACTTGTAGTCTCGCCCTTATAAAAGTGTTGAGATATCTTAATTCTTAGCATTCACACCACCCCCTTCAGATCGAGTATGAGCCTATTTGCGACTGGCCACC